ACCCCAATTTCCCCTCCTGATTCTCGCTTTTCCTTCCTATGGCCCTTTACAACTTCATCAGCTTATGGACCATCTCCATACTCAAACGATATTCTCTGTGTTTCTGTCTCCAGCTATGACCTTCCCGTCGGAAGGTCACGACACAACCTACTCGTTCGACCTGAAGGAAGTGGTGCGCATGCTCAAGACAAAGCATGGTGATCACATCTTGGTGAGTACTAACAGTGTCTGAGAAAGAAGCAAAATTTGACCTTTTTGCCCTTCTTGCGCAGAAACATCACTTAGTGTCTGTGTTTATGACAAGAGAATTATGGGTTGTTTTTGTTTTGTTTTGTTTTCTATGTAAAACGTGACATTCCAAACATCTTTTATGACCACCAATAAACATCTTAACTCAGAAATGATGAATTTCTTGTATTGCTTTTATTTTCAATTTGAAAAAAAAATTCATAACTCAAATTTCTTGATGGGTGGATGGCGGGTGCTCTGGTATGGTTTGCTCCTTCTTTCCTATTGAACATGTATCTTCCTGATCTCTCCTCCTTCTTTTTTGTGTTTGTTACTCTCTTGTAACACCTCTAAACTTCGGCACTTGTATGACCTTATTGTGTTGCTAGTGCCGTAAAACTCTTACTAAAACAGAAAAAGAAGTGCTTGCACTAATTTACACACCAAAAAAGTAATTATCTTTAAGGCGATATGAGATTGTGTGTAATAACATTACCAGAGACTGATATCTACTGTTTGTTTCAGATACTGAATTTGTCGGAAAAGCGTCAGGACTTGACCAAAGCTGCTCCCCAGGTGAGGAAATCCAACAACCTTGTTTGTATAGCTTCTTAGTCTGTTTGCCCTTCCGTCTGGCTTTCAACCTGTCTGTCTGATGGCGTATCTGTCTGTTTGTCTGGTAGTCGTTTGTCTGTGTATTTGTCTAATTTTCTATCTTTATGTGTGTTTTGTATGTCTATTTTCTTGCTAATCTGTTGGTTTAACTAGCTGGGCGTTTGCCCATCTCTTGTCTGCTTACATAGATAGCTATAAAACTTGCAGTCTGGATTTCTTCCTGCTATCATGTATGTTTTGTTTGTCAGCGTATCTATCCGCCTCTCTGACTGAGGGTCTGTTGGTCTATCAGTCTGCCTTTTGCCTGCATTATATGGCAACAGCTACTTTTGAGTCTAGTAGATATTCTTCTCTGTGTCATAGGTTCAGGAAATTTTAATGTTGTTCTGTAAAGAGACATAGAACTTAAAAGGATAATCTTCTTATTTTCCCCAGCTTTTTCTTAAGTTCGATGTTGCTTCTTTGATCTTTTTGCAGTTAAACACCCATTCTGCTTACCTGAATTGTCTTGGTTTAAAGTCGGGTTTCTAATAATATGTCCTGCTCCCATCTTCTGTCAG